GCTCCGGTCTCACACGAAGGGGCTGCACCTCCCGCCCTGTGCACCCCCGTCCTCCCCTGCCCAGCACTCCCCTGGCTCCCCCAGGGGAGCTCAGGCACATCCTTCTCCGAAGGGCCCTGAGTCCCACGAGGCAGCTGCAGCCACAGCCACAGGCACAGGTGAACAGGGCGCCCACATGACACGGTGGACGCTGTCACGCCGTGGGCGCCGGTCCCCGACTCCGGCGGTCTCCAGTCCAGGGCCGAAAACACCCCCTCCTTCTCTTCTCCCGCACGGACTCTGAGGATTGCCTCCCTCCCCGCCCCTGAGCGCCTGGCTCACCTGACGTCCCGCCCCCTCCCTCTGGTTCAGTCGGACCCCACAAGCCTCACCTTCGCTTGGTAACTGGGGGGCCTTCTGTCCCCTCACGAAGGACCCCCAGTCCAGATGCCAGGCCCACCCTGCCTGCCCCTCTGGCATCTGGCTTGCTGCACCCCCATGACCTGGCCCCCAGGCCTGCTGGGACATTCTTGTCCCAAACAAGGGAGCTGAGCCAGCGGCTCTGGGAGGTAGGACACAGCTCTGGCCCCACCGGTGTGGCTCGGTTGGTTGGAGCATCAGCCTGTGAACTGAAGGTTTGTGGGTTCGATCCCCAGTCAGGGCACAAGCCTGGGTTGTGGGTTCGAGCCCTGGTTGGGGAGAGTGCAGGAGGCAACTGCTCAGTGTTTCTCGCTCTCCCTCCCTCTCCCTTGCTCTGGAATCAGTAAATGTCTATGTTTATTGAGAGTTAAGAAGAGCCCTGCTCTCCTGCCGCGCTTTGTGCAAAGCCCCAGAGAGCACGCCACGCTGCCTCGTGTGTGGAGACCGAGGCAGGCTCCCTGCCCGGGGAGGCGTGGGCACCGCGGCGGCGCGAGAGGGCGTGGCGCCGGCACACTGGGGCCTCCCGGCAGGCGGCTCTGCTCAGGGGGGGCCGCGGGGCGGAGGTCAGTGTGGGAGGAAGGAGCCTGGTCCAGGGGCACCCACCCCGCGCCCTCTCTGCCACCCCGTGGCTGGTGGCCTTGGGTGACTTTGCCCGACTCTGACCTGTTACGGAGGGCGTGCGGCCAGAGGAAGGCGCCTTCCATTGGGGGTGCCTGGGTGGGCACCGCAGGGGCTGACGCGGCCTGAGTTCGGGGTGCCACCAGGCCTGCAGCGAGTGGGGGTGTCCGTGCAGGAAGGACCCTCCGTCCCCGGGTGAGGCGGGACCTCCGGTGCCGACCTCACTGCACTCAGTTCTGGGAGCGGCTGCGTCTGGCCCTGCCCCTCCGGGCCGCCCCTTCCCCTGGACCCTGCTGGGCTCTCTCTGTCCCCACCTGCCCGGCTCCCTGGGGACACTGAGCCGCCTCCCCCACGGCATCTGGGGGACATTCACAGATGGAAGCAGGGGTTGGGCGGGACGGGGACTGGTTAAGTCCTCCCTTGAAGAAGGTCACGGTCACACAGGTCATTTGACACGGGCTGGCACGGTCCGGCGAACACCGAGGCGTCTCCCTGAGCACCGCTGGGTTTGCTGTTCACTCGGGGGGTTCCCGCTGCGGCCCCGAGAGGCAGGGGCTGCTGTCACCCTGCGTCACAGGCCGGAAAACAGGCTGGGAGGCGTCAGGTGGCGTGACCAGGGTGGCCCGTGGCGGGAGCTCTGTTGCCGTCTCCGAGGGAGCGTGCACACAGCAGGGTGGGCACCCGGGACGTGCGCAGCTCTGCCCGGGAAAGGCCTCTCAGGGGTGGTGACCTGGGACTGAGCCATGCTGGGGACAGGGGCTCACTTTCCGGTCACCCTCACTGCCCTGCACCTGGCTGCAGAGAGGGCCCCCAGAGCCCACAGGGGAACTGCGTCCTGAGCCTCTGCTGCCGCCGGGTGGGGACAGTCCCCCCCGGAACCCACAGGAGCAGCTCACAGAACCGCTCCCCACGGTCCTGGTGACAGGCCAGGTCGCCGTGGGGGACAGCCTCCCCTTTCCCACCCCTCAGTTCCTGCCCCCAACCGCCCCCCCCCCCCCCCCCCCCCCCGCACCCGCCTCTGGTCACACCTGCTCCTGGTCTCCATGGCGACATCGCCTCACCCAGCCTCCTGGGTGGTCTGGCCGCCTCACAGGGTGAAGCTCTGCGAACATTTTCCTGATGTGCAGCCAGAAACCTCTGCTTCCCGCGCCCAGGGCCACGGCTCTTCTCACCGCCTCCTGCCAGCCTCGCCCGGCCCTCCCCCACGGCTGTGTCCCCCCCCCCCTCTGCCAGGCCTGCAGGGCGGTGGCGAAGCATCTGCAGGGCCAGCACAGTGGGGACGCGCCTGTCGTCGGAGACCCGGGGAGAACCCAAACGCAGCAGCGAGGTCTGAGCCTCAGAACAAGGGTGTCTGTGTGGCCGCAGGTGCTGAAGCCCATGTATGTGTGTGTACATGGGTGAGCACATATGTGTGAGCACGTGTGTGTGCTCCTAGAGGTCACAGGGTGACAGTGGTGGCCCCGAGTGCGTCCCGGCGTCAGCTCCAGCTCAGCCACAGGTGGGGCCCAGAGGTGGTGGCACCGAGGACCGGTGCTGCTTCCCGGAGACAGACTGGGGGGTAAACTGAGGCCGAGAGAAGGTCACAGCGCCCTAGGCTTTCCAACCAACGGACACGACCCCACTGAGCCCACGCAAGTCTCTTCGTGATCCACAGACACTTCGAGAGAGTTTGCGACTGACACGCACACGTGTGAGAGATGCACCGGTGTGTGGCGTGACGTGCACACGCCCACACCCACAGGACAAGCGCATCCGAGGGCTCGTGTGTCTCCACACGTGGCCCCTTTTAAACACGCCCCTGTCCACGCAGCCAAGCCTGGGCGCCCAGAGGTCACCCTCTTGTCCCGGCCCCAGGCCGTGCCTGCAGGTCTGAGCTGGGGTCTCTGCCGCACAGGGACGGCCCACCTTCCCGCGAAGCCGTAGCTCAGAACCTGCACCTCCACAGGACGCCCCCCTGAGCCCGCCCCGCACGGCCCCCCACAGCAGGCCCCCCCACAGCAGGGCCAGTGGGGCCCTTCGCCCCCCCCCCCCGCCCCCGGCATCCGCTGGAGGCTCTCCGGGGAAGCCCCCAACCTCCCTGCCCTGGCTCTCCATTCCTCCTCCCCCTCCTTGTCACCAGCCTCACCCCTGTGCCTTCTGTGACAGGGCCGGGCCTGAGTGGGGTCCCCCCCCCCCCGCCCCCGGCCCTCCGAAATCCTCCCCCTTACACTGAGCCCGCAGCTGGGCTGTGTTGTCTTGGGGCAGGATGTGGGGGCGGGCTGGGCAGGGCCCCCACCCCCAGGGGAGAACAATGGGGCCGCTGGTGGGGGGTGGAGGGGGGTGGGGGGCCTGGAGCCACATCAGAGCCTCTGAGGAGCGGCCCCTGGAGGGACGGCTGAGTGATGAGTCCTGAGTCACAGGCCCCGCGCGGTCCTCCCACTCCTGTGGAGGCATGTTCAGAAACGCTGGGGTGAACACTCGGAGGTGATCGGTTTGCAGCTCCCTGCCTGCCGCGGGGCGAGCCCGGCCGACGCGGGGAGGTCCTGGCACACCCGGGGGCGGCCGAGGCGCGGGCTTCCCTGAGCCACCGCCTCTCCGCAGCCGCCAGAACCCAGACTCGCGGGGCCTGAGAGCACCCTGAGGAACCCCAGCTTCAAATTCATGGGTGACCTCTGTGGGTGCTGCTGCGGAAGGATGGCCCCCGGCACACCCTCCTTCGAGGGGCCAGTCCGCACCGGGAGCGGGGGGCACCCAGGGCCAGAAGCAGCCAGGCCCGGGGCTGTGGTCCGAGGCCAGCTTCCTCAGAGATGGGACCTTCGAGAGTAAACGGTCCTTGTGTCGATCGGAACTGGGCTCCCGCGTGTTCTGCTGTGTCCAGCCTGCCACGCTGAGTGGACCCGCCAGGCACGCGCATCTCTCGGGGGGAGGGAGATCCCGCGGTTGGAGGGTGAAGGAGCCTTGGGTACCAGAGGGGCCGGCAGCGGCCGGAAGCCCGGGCTGCGGGCGGGCAGGAGGGCCCATGTGTCAGGCTCGCGCATGTGGTCTGAGCCCCGCTGCCCACCAGGCACAAACAGAAAATAAAGTGCTAACTCGGGTGGGACCGCTGACCAACCAAGGCCCTGGCCCCAGCCCAGCCTCCCGGGCCTGCTGGGCTGGGACACCTGCCCATAGCCCCCAAGGGACAAGCACGAGGAAGGACCAAAATGCCTTTGTCAGGCTGCCTGTGAGCAGTGGCACATGACCGGAGCACTCGAGTTCCCTTCATCCCACCTTGGTGGACAAAGGGACCGGGGGTCCCAGTGGCTCCCTGCTTGAGGTCGGACAGGCAGGAGCGGCAGAGACTGGGTCCAGGGCCTCGGCGGCAACGCCCACAGCTCCTTCCTCTTTGCCCCGTTGAAGGCGAAATGGGGGCAACAATGGCCCTGCTTGGGTGGGGGCGGCCCTGGTGCCTTCCTCGGGGAGGGTCCGGACCAGTCAGTGTCGGCCGCTACCAGCGGGAGGGTTTGGTGCACCGCACGCCTCACAGGTGTGACGCAGGAACTGGCTCCGGCTCTCAGGGAACCTGGGAGGGCCGTGGTGTCCGTCCCATCCCTCCGGACTGGGCACCTTCTGTGACGTGCCCAGAGGCTGCAGCCTCTTCCGGTGGGAGACTGAGGGGGTGCAGCCAACAGGACCGTGACTGGACGGAGCCTTGGAGGGCAGCGCCAGCCCCCGCTCTGGCCTAGAAGGACATTCACACCGTGCATGGAAACCATAGGGACATGCCCTGGAAGGGACCCAGGAATGGCAGGGAGGCCCATGCCTCGGTTTCCCCTCTGGTACAGAGAAGGCCTGTGTGCAGCAGGTGGCCCCTCGTCTCCTGCCCTGGAGCTCCGTGGGTCCCTCCCGTGCAGGGAGGTCAGCTTCCTTCAGAGCCCTAGTCGGAGCCAGCGGCCACTCAGGGTGCTCTGGGGACGGGCGCGGGGACGCCGCAGCGGCTCACAACCCATCTTCTCCCCTTGCAGGGACCTGAGCATGAACAACCTCACGGAGCTGCAGCCTGGCCGCTTCCGCCACCTGCGCTTCCTGGAGGAGCTGTGAGTAGGCGCTGCGCCCGGGGGCAGGCGGGGGCCCCCTCGGACAGCTGACCCGCTCTCGGGACCGGGTGCCCCTTCAGAACAAGGGGCCGGGAAGCTGTCCTTGAGGGCACGGTGTTTGCTGACGCCTGGCCCAGGCAGGAGCCCGAGGGTGGCCTGGCCTCGAGGGGCCACGTGGTATAGCAACTCCAAACTCGAGTTTGTTTCCTCCGTGAGGCCGGCTCCTGGTGGTGCCTCCCCTTCCTGTTAACATCTGCCCTTCGCCTGGGAGGTCACCCTGCCCGTCCAGCCACTGGCTGCTCCCAAGACCTGGTGGCTTTTTCTGGGGGGCTTCTCCCTCATCCCTTTTCTCTGTTCCCACTCCTGCTGCTTAGACGGCCCCTCACTTCCAGGCATTGCCCTGGCCTCCTGGCCGCAGACCCCCGCCCCTTTCAGGGTTCTCTGCACACCCCGGGGGCGCATCTCTCCAGCTCCGAGCCTACCTGGCCGGCCTGGCTCTGTGAGGCCAGTCCTGGTCACCACCCCTGGGCCATTCCCGAGTCCAAGCAGGTTTCCCCTCCGACCTGGCAGGTCCATCTTTCCCTCTACTGGGCATCGTGAATGAGTGACCGGCTCAGGGCAGCGCCCGGCCTGCCCGCCCCGCACGACCCTCTCCCAGCACCTGCTCCTGCTCAGTCTGGTTTCTGCACCCGCAGGGTCCTCAGGGAGCACGGGGTTCGCTTCGGCTGTGCAAACGGTTGCTCCTGGCCCTGGAAACATTCACGGCTCCACGTCTGCCCCCCGCCCCCCGACAGGTGTCTTCCCACGGGCAATGCATGGCCGGCCCCTGCTGGGCTTAGCGTCCCACTCACCCTGGGGCCACCAGGGGGCCTGGGGGGACAAGAGAGGGGCCCACCTGCTGCCCTCAGGGTGGGGCCTGTGGGGGGCAGGGAGGCCCGTTCCCAAAGGAGGTGGCCGTGGAGTGGACGTCACCCAGGCCCTGGGAGCCCTGTGACCTGAAGGCAGGGCCAGACCCCTGTGAATCATCGTCCCCCCCCACAGGGAGATGGAGAGAGTGAAGCGGGATAGACATCATCGCCCTCGGAAAGTGGGAGTTAGCCCCATGTCCCCTCTGCCGCCCCACAGGCTCCCGGGTCTCCCCTCCGAGGGTCCCCGGCGGCGTCACCACCCTCTGCTCTGGTTTGCAGGCGTCTCTCGGGGAACCATCTCTCACACATCCCGGGAGGAGCGTTCTCTGGCCTCCACAGCCTGAAGATCCTGTGAGTGCTCGGCCTTCCCCCCAACCCACCGCCGGGGGCAGGGCCGGGGGACCAGGGCCCGGGGAGGCCTCGCCCCACCTTCGGCTGTCACCTCCGCTTCTCACTCCCTTATCTGCTCTTCCTGTCTGAATCGCTGCTTCCGTCTGTGCATCCGCGCGTGGCTTTGTCTGTACCAGACGTGATGGTTTGTGGCCGCGTCTCCCTGGCAGCCCCGGGAAGCAAGCCGTCCTGTTCTCTGGTGTGAGTGGCGGCCCTGAGTGTGGGTCTCTCTGTGCTGCCGGCCTCGGCCCACCCAAGTGCTGCACCGAGACGCAGCCAGGGCGGGACAGCCGTCTGCAGGGCCAGCGTCCTCCAGGGCTCCCACCCTGGTCTCTGTGCTGAGTCCCCCTCTCAGTTGACCTGACCCTCCATCGGGCATCAGGCTTCTTCGTCCTGGCTCCTGGCACTTGCCCTTGAAGCCAAAGGAAAGTGACGCCTTCCCCTCTGGCCCCTGAGCTGGTGGCGTTCAGAGAAGGGAGGATGGAGGTGCAGTCGCCGGCTCCCCTGGTCCCAGCCCAGCTGAGTGCTCAGGGCCGGTGGCGAGTGCAGTGCGGGGAGTGGGGAGGGTACCCAGGGTCCGAGGGGGCAGGAGAGTCCCCTTGGTGGGCTGCCTCCCGCAGCCTCTGGTTTGGGGGAAACAAGCCTGTGGGGGCTGGTCCTGGAGCTTTGGAACGAGCCCTCGGAGCTTCTGTGTGGGGCCAGTGGTTCCCCGGCCCTCCTGCCCCCCCCCGCCCCAACCTGGGTGGGCTGTTCCCTGCATGAGACCACCTGTCCACAGGGTGACAGGCGCTGAGACTTAGCCCTGTGTCTGGCGTGGGCTACAGCCCCCCAGGAAGGAGTATGTGTGTCTAGTTCACTTGAAGTTACTTGGGCTGGTGGGGGTCCTTGGCCGTCAGCTTCTGGTCTCCAGTCAGGCCCAGAGCATTCCCACCCCCCTTTTCTGCAGCCTCTGCCCTCAGCCTCCCTCTGTGCCTGACTCCGGGGCTCCTTGGCCCCTGCCTCCCCCCAGCCCCGCCTCCCCCGACACTCTATTCTGCTCTGCCCTGGGCGCCACCTCTGCCCAGCCTCCGTCCCCTCATCTCCTCGCAGCCCTGGCCCACTGTCCCTCTGTCCCTCTGCCCTGGGTCTGTCCCACCCCCATCACCTCGCAGCCCGGGGTGGGGGTAGGCGGCCCGCTTGGCGGCGTGTCTGTGCCCAGGGCAGGCTGAGACCTGCAGCCGGAGGAGAGCGGGCTGCGTGCTGGGCTTTCTGAAGACTCCAGCTTAGCCCGAGCCTCTGCTTTCAAAGCTGCCCCCCACCTCCCACCCCTGTCTGCAAACAGAGGCCTCAGCTCGGCCCAGTCGGGAGGCCAGAGAGGCTGCAGGCAGGAGCCCAGGACGGCCTGCCCATGCCCGCTGCGCCCGGGGCCACTGTGGGGCCTGTCCTGGAAGACCACCGGTCCCCAGCCCCATGTCAGCTCCTGGCCTGTGAGCCTCTTGGAGATGAGCTGGGTGGTCTCAGAGCAGTGGTTGCTCAGGGCCCAGCGGGGGTGTCTGGGCAGGAAGCGCCTCTGGTGTGCAACGCCGGGCCCTCTGGCTGCCGGGCTGGCCCACGTCAGACCTGCAAGGAAAATGGGGCAGCGAGGTCCCTCGTCGCCGTAATAGCCTCCCTGCCCTCTGCCCCCTCTCCTCTCTGTGTCTAGCACTCGGTCTGCAGGGTGAGGCCAGGACACTGGGGTGTGAGAGCTTCCCAGACCATTGTACCGAGCCACCAGGGCTGAGAGCCCCGGGGTGCCGGCTGCCCCTCCCCAGGTGAGACCAGCGGTCACAGCAGCACCTGCCTGGGAAGCAGGACTGGGCCCCAGTCCTGGTTCTGCCGTCCATTTGCTCTGTGACCGGGGCCGAGTCACCCCCGCTCTCCGAGCCTCCATCTCCCCATGTGGGAAAGAGCAGGATGGTCTGTGTGAAGGCCCTTTGGGCTTCAAACCTGGAGCCTCGGGAAGGAGTGCGGGCCGGGGACGCAGGGTCTGGGCCAGGGCCAGCCCTGAGGTGCCACGTGAGGGTGTCCCTGCCCTTGACACAAACAGGGTTGGTGTGACGGCAGGACAAGACTACGGAGGGCAGGTGATGTCCTGGGTCACCGAGTGTGACCATGAAGGGAGGTTATTTTTGTGGAAGGCGAGGGACTCTCAGCTGAGCAAAGGGGCGGCCAGACATTGATGCCGGCCCACAACCAGAGGCTGCAGCCCGCTAGGGGACCAGGGCACTGTCCTCGTCCCAGCTCACGGACCAGGAGTGTCAGCTCTCGCACGCCGCCACGCGACTGCCTGACTCGCAGACCTGCGGCGAGGCCACCCTGTGTTCAGGAGGCCCAACAGGCACGGGTTTAAACTCCTCCCATGAAGCAAATTGTCCTTGGAAAGGTCCCGCCGGGCGTGCAGAGCTGGCTCGGAGGCCCGCAGCCGCCCACCCTGCCCAGCTGGGCAGGCGCAGGGGGACCTCTTCCCTGGCCCATCTCCCCTCCCCCCAGGGAGCTTCTCGTCCCCACCCTCGGGGACCCAGCTTTCTCTCACTGCTGCGGCAGTGCTGGGAGTTTAGGGACATGGGGGGACAGGGACGCAGGAGCCCCTTGTCCTCACTGTGTCTGCCCCACGACACAGGCCCCGGGTGGTCCCAGCTGGCTGCAGTCTAGGCCCAGACCCTCCGGGTAAGCGTGAGCTGCTCCATGTTCTAGGTTGGGGCCCAGCACGTCCACTGCTCCTGGTACTAAAACTTAAAGGTTAGGAAATGGGCCACTTTCCCCCCCAAGGCTGTGAGCTGAGTGATTTTGGGGTGAGAGGTACATCTTCTTCTTAATATTTTTTAAAGATTCTATTTGTTTATTTTTAGAGAGAGGGAAAGGAAGGAGAGAGTGAGAGAAACATCAATGTGTGGTTGCCTGTCTCATGCCCCCATCTGGGGACCTGGGCTGCAGCCCAGGCCTGTGCCCCGACTGGGAATCGAACCGGTGACCTTTTGTTCTCAGGCCAGCGCTCAGTCCACTGGGCCACATCAGCCAGGGCTGGCGCATCGTTTTGCTTCTTTGCCTTCCTCCTCTTTGGCTCTTCCTCATCCTTCCATGACCCCTCCTGACTCCCCCGCACACGGACCAGGCCGGGCCGGGACTCCCTCGGGCCCCCGAAGCTGGGGCGACGGGGAGGGACCTCCTTGGGGTGGGGTGCAGGGAGGCGCCGCCGCTCCGCGTGCCGCGGGTCCTCCAAGCCCCCCCTCCCCACAGGATGCTGCAGAACAACCAGCTGGGAGGCATCCCTGCCGAGGCGCTGTGGCAGCTGCCGAGCCTGCAGTCTCTGTGAGTCCCAGCTGGGCCCCTCCTCCGCGCCCCCCTTGTCCCCCGCGTTTAGACAGCCAGTGCTCCAGGCCTCGCAATGTCGGGGTTCTGCTGCAGCCGGAGGGTGTGTGTGGACTCGAGGGCGCATCCGGGGAAGGGGGGCTCCGGGCCCTGCCCAGCACTGTGGGAAAGGGACCTCCCTAGGTGGGGCCACCAGGGCGGCCGTCCTGGGGCGTCTGGCGTTCTGCCCCGCAGTCTGGGTGGGGGCGGAGTCAGCCGCCCCCCAGAAGTGTCAGGAAGAGGCTGTCTCGTCCACATAGGCTGCTCCAGCCCCCAGGGCTCCGGGGTGGGGTGGTCCAGACACCCACTTCCCCCGCTCGGGTGGGACTGCGCTGGGGGTGCACTGTCCGCCCATGACACAGCCACCCTCCAGGGAGCCCTGCAGTTCCTCTCCTGCCCAGTAGGGGTGCCATGGACACAGGATGGAGGGAGGGCCGTGCCAGACAGGTGCAGGCTGCCACCCTGGGCGGGGTGCTGGTCTGCGCCCACATCCCAGGCCAGATATGCGCCCACCAAAGAAATCGTAGGTCCTTTTGTATCTGATGGAACAGGGTATACATACCTGGGGAGAAACCGAAATTGGGAGACAATGCATAAGGTTTATCCGTGGGGGAAACCAAGCCACAGTCAGTGTGCCGAGTGTCGGCTCAAAGGTCTCTCCGCCCAGGGCCCTGCCCTGGCCCCAGCCCCTGGGTGTGGATCAGACCGTCCCAACCCTCTCTGGGCGGGACAGGAGGCTTTCCTTGCAGGACCCATTAACCCAGGGCCCAGTGGGAGGGCTCTGGCCGCCAGCTGTGCCCCCCCCCCGCCCCGTGGCTGGCCTTCCTCCGCACCCCGCCTCCTGCTCCCATGTCCGCATGCACCCAAGCTCCCCGGCTGCCCGGTGGGCCCTGCCGGCCCTCTGTTTCTCCCCTTCCCGCCCTCCATCCCAGCAAGAGCTGGGCCTCTGTCTGCAGCCTCCTCCTCTTCCTCCACCAGGACACCCCGAGCAGGGCGGGGCGGGGGGCGGGGGGGAGGCGGGCCACGGTCAGGAGACCCAAGGCCAGGAACGCTGGTGCTGGCTCCCCACTCTTCCACCCCAAAGTGAAGACCCCACATTAGCTTAAGGCAACAGCAGAGCAGGGGCAGCCAGAAATGGGGTGCAGGGGCAGAACTGGCTATTTTGTCCAAAATATCAAAGAGGCCTTTCCGGGAAGAAGGTGGACATTTGCTGGGTGGCTTTGGCACACCGGTGGGGCCAGGCGGGTTTGGTCACCAGTGACAGCTTTGGCACACGGAAGGGTTCTGTGGGCTCGGCAGGCAGACCCCCGAGCTCTGGGGGGTGGCGACCCTGCCGGCGGGTGGCCCACAGCTCTGGCCCACTCCTGGCTCTGGCCTCACTGCTCCATCACTCACCCCCTCTGTGCCTCGTTTTCTCCACCTTCAAGTTGGGGGTGGCCGTCCCCCCTGCCCCTCACGCAGGGTCGTCACCAGGCTCAGACGCAGCAGACGTGAGAGGGACCGGAATGGGGTCCACGCAGCTGTGGGGAGTGTTACACTGTGGTCATCACGTCCATTTGTCCACTGGTCACGGTTCACGTTGTCCCTTGTATGGGTGAGGCTTCCCTGGGGGTGGGCCGCACCCAGCTGCTCTCCGACCGCTTAGGAAGAGTTGAGAAGGGAAGAGGCCAAGACGGTGAGCCCGGCCGAGCGAGTTGCACGATCAAGGGAAGAACCCAACAAAGTCGAGGGAATTGTCTGGGGGCGGAGCCAGGCTGGCCTGTGTGTGCTGGGGACACAGGTGGGACCCGCAGTTGTGGAGAGAGACCTGGGACCGGTAAGAGAGGACGCCCAACAGGCAGGCGCAGACCTTGCTGAGGATCTGGACCGGGGGGGCCATTGCAGGGTTTTGGCAGGAGAGCTGTGGGGTGGAGTCTTTGTCTTTGAACAATGACTGCGGCAGTCACGGAGGACAGCCTGGAGGTGGGGGCAGCGAAGGGGCCTGTGAGCCAAGGGAGTGCGACTCCAGCCGAAGGCAAGACAGGCACAGCGGCCAACTCCGGAAACGTCAGGGAGCCTGGTGGTCGGGCCTGGAGTCACGTCGAGTCTCCCTGGACGACCCTGCGCAGGCCACCCGTCCCCAGGCTTCTGCTTCTGCATCAGTAAAGTGGAGGCGGCACCTCGGCAGGGTGAGGTGAACTGAGTTAACACACGTCAGAGACGTCGTACCTTTCTGGCTCCCGTTACAACGCCACCGTTGGCATTGACTGCAGGTGGCAGCTGAGAGAGACCAGGCACCCTGACGTCCGGGCAGACTCCAGGCAGGTCGCTGAGAACCTGGCACCTGGGAGGGGTGGGTAGGAGTGTGGTGACGGAGCCGTAGTGATGCCCGGGGGTGGGCAGGGTGGGCCCCCGGGAGCGAGGCAATGACGTCCCTCTGGGGCGTGTGGACTTTGAGGCGCCTGCGGTCGGGGACGCTGAGGAGCGGGTCACCCTGCTGGACACGCAGGGTGTGGGGGTGAGTTGGGGGACAGGCAACAACCCGCCTTGCGGGGTCTGAGAGGCGTTGGTCCCAAGGTCTTGGAAGCCGGCACCTCAGGGTGACACGCTGTCCCACTGAGTTCAGGTCCCTCCCTCAGACAGTGACGGTAAAGCCAGCTCGGGTTGCTGGGCAGGAAGGACAGCGTGAGGGCAAATGACAGTTTTTGGAGCCCCCGCCCTGGTCAGCGCTGCACGGGATGCTTTCTGATCGCTGTCTGAGTTCATCCCCACAAACCCTCGTTGTGTCGTCACTCCTGCTGTCGGACAGGCTCAGGGACCCTCCAAGGTCAGAACTAGTGGGGAGGGAGGGCCGCGCCCGTGTCCTGCCCGCCAGTGCCGCCGGGGAAGCCACTGTGGGTGGCCGGCGTTGGGTGCTCCCCCTCCCGCTCTGTCCACCCCAGCAGCCAGGCCCCGGGCATTCCCGGCACCCAGTCAAGGTTCCGTCCTGTGGTCCCCTCCCCACCGGCTGGAACCGGATCTTGGGGCAAAAAGAAGCAGGTCAGGGAAGTGGGGCTGGGCTGGGGGCCCAGGTTGCCCACCGGACACACCACCCAGGCTGTTCAGGGTGGCCCTGGGTGGGCAGCCCCCAGCCCACACAGTGGAAGGGACTAGGGGACGGTGACAGCCTTGTCATGCCGGGCTCGAGCCCCCGCAAAGGGAAGGTGCAGGAAGCCAGGGAGCCTGGGGGGTCCACAGAACAGCAGGAAAACAGCTCAGAAAGGCCTCGGGGTGGGGCAGGCTGGGCCCGGAGAGTTGGAAAAAACACAGTGGCAGGTCTGAAGGGGAGGGGACAGAAACACAGCCGGGTCCTGGTCACCCTCCGGGAGCCCTGCCTGATGGCAGACGGCAGCCACAGGGCCCCACCGCCCTGAGCTGAGCTGCGATCCCGGCGGTCGCCCGAGGTCCGGCCAGCACTGCCTCTCAGCCCGACCTCCCTCCCCCGGGGACACGGCTTTGGAGGGGTGTGCGTGGGGGCGGGGCCGGGCGGCAGGGGCAGTGACTCCCACTCACTACACTGCGAAACGCTAAGCACTTCATGGGTCTCACTGAGTCCTGAAAGCCATACAGGTGAGGGAGCTGGAGCCCAGAGGGGTTGCCCAGATGCTCGGCTGGCTGTGCCCGAGCCCAGGGTGCCACCCTCGCCTGCACTGTGTCCTCGAAGACATAGGCTCCAGGGTCTGGATCCCAGACTGCCCGTGGAGCATAGTGTGGCTGCAGGCAAGCCCCCTCCCCTCCCTGAGGCCGAGGTCCCCGTCTCCAACGGCAGCTGGGGTCCCGGGAAGACATTGTACCCAGGGACACAAGGGCTTCCCGAGGGGCTATGAGCACTGTCCCGAGTCACTCAGGACTCCCGGGCACACTCGCTCTCTACAAGAAAAAGTCTGTGAGCGACTGAGCTCATCGTAACAGTCCAGGGGCTGGGGCTCTGGGGAGGCCCGTGCCGGGTGCAGCCGGCCACTCCTCGCTGGCCCTCGCCTGCGAGAGGGGCAGAGCCGGAAGCAAGCTCTCCCAGACTTACAAGGGCACTGACCCCCCAGGGAGACCCCCTCACGACCTCGTCTAACCCTGATAAAGGGGAGGGGACAGAAACACAGCCCAATTCCGTCCCACGGGGTAGACTGCCAATGTGCGCATTTTCGAAGGGGTACAAACGTACAGGACACACAAGGGGACCACGTGGGTCGTCTGGGCAGCAGGGGCATCTGCATGGACCCCTAGTACCCTCGGCCTTGATCACGAGCCCCAAAGACCCGCTGTGGTGAGGGCGTCTCCCTGTGAGGGATGATTCCGGGGCTTTTCACCTCAAGTGGCTGGTCTGTCTTCTCGCTGTGAGAACGGCACTGGCAGTGACAGCCCACCTTGCGCAGACCTGGAGGGCAGCGCCCTGCTGAGGACCCCCAGTGGGCCAGAGGTGGGGCCTGCTGGGGCCCAGCAGGGAGCCAGCCGGGGTCCCTCACCACCTCCAGCCTCCTGACAAAAGCCATCCAGAAGCCCCGCGGGCTTGGGGAACCCTGGAGGAGGCGCTTCTCTGACTTTCGGGTGCTGGGACGGGGAAGGGGCCATGGAGGGACAAGGGAACAGCAAGACCCTGAGTCTGGCAGCTGTGGTCCAAGCCTCCACGCTGGAGACGCCCTGCCTGCTGTGGAGAGGACTCCCAAGCAGCCCCTGGGGCCCAGCGAGTACCGTCAGCACTGCCCAGCCCTCCTGCCAGCCAGCAGGGGCCCCGCGGCTCCGCCACGCGGTGGGTCCCCAGGTCCCCGGGGACACGCGAGGTGGCAGACGGCTCCCTGGCGTGGCTATTTCGGGCTCTGTGATTACACGCTGCTGCATTTGGATCCCTGAGGTTCCGGGAGTTGATTGCTACATGTGTCTGGGGCAGAGGCTGCCCCGAGGTGGGTGGGCGCGGCGGCCCCTGCGTGGGACGAGGTCTGAACACAGGC